AGGAGCTGTGACTCCTGATCTGACCATACTGTGTGTGTGTGTGTGTGTGTGTGTGTGTGTGTGTGTGTGTGTGTGTGTGTGTGTGTGTGTGTGTGTGTGTTGTGAACGACTCTCAGCACACCAAACTTCAGCGCAGTAGCTGTAAAGTTAACAGATATGCAGTTTAGTATGTTTAAAGTCAACTATCTGAGGCAGCCATCTTGAACTGGGTTGACTTTTATGGAGGACCGAAACTGGCAGAATTAGAAATAAAAACAAAAATAAATATAATTAGAAATAAAAGCAGAAATATAAACTGTATGTATATATTGTTTTTCCTTTTCCTTACACATGTGTTTTCATCAAGAAATGACAATATTTTGTTTTTTACTGCTTTTATTTCTAATTATATTTATTTTTGTTTCTATTTCTAATTCTGCCAGTTTCGGTCCTTCATAGACTTTAAAAGGTAATCAGTTGTATTTTACTTTCTGCAACTTTTAATAAACTTTATTGAGTGGACCATGAGATATTTTACTAACAGACAGACAGACACACACAGAGACACAAACAAGAATAACAACATCTGCCTTTGTCCTGCAGAGGACGACAATAAAAACATTAATATAAGCAGGATTTACTGAAGCAGAGCTCAAAGTCAGTTAAAACCAAACATATTTACTGTTTAAATGTTAGGATTGTTGTTTTCTTTAAAGCAGAGGTTCTCAAACTGGGGTCCCTGGACCCCCAGGGGTCCAAGAGAGGTATCTTGGAGGTCCTCAAAAAGTTTCACTAAATTGTTAATTTGGTTCTTATTTTTAAAAATGCATGGAGAACAATGAACTAATAAAACAAACATAATAAACTTAATAAAATATATAAATTCCCATGGCATTTAGGGGTTGAAATGACAAATTATATTTTAAAACAGCAGGGGGTCTATGAAGGGGGTCCCCAGACCCAAATGGTTTGAGAAGCCCTGCTTTAAAGAACCTGGTCAGGATGAGGAGACAGCTTGGATCTTCTTGATTAGAAATAAAAAACAGTGATTTAGGATGAAAACTTCTAATAAGAATCATTCTGTTCCTGCTTGAATCAGCTGATGTCCTTCAACATGTTTTATGTTCAGTTTTATTTAAATTATTTAAAGGGGTGGGGGTATTTTGTAATTATGTAACATTAACAAGGTCAATTTCAAGGGGCTTCAATGTAAACCACCCTGAAACTGGCCTCTGTCTTTTTAAGAACCTCCTACCATTTCTGACACTCCCACTTCAGCACTTCTTCACATTAAGGCTATTTTCAGTTGTTCAGCCGTTTGATCCAGATTTCCATCAGGACTAATCATGTAAAATAATCAGAGCTGAGCAGAAGTGTTAGAGCTCAGAGAAGAGGGTGAGGATGACTCTCAGCTACTACCACATTAACCCCATGACAGCAGCTGAAGGTTAGCCACCGTTAGCTCCAAACAGATTTTATTTAAACATTTAAATGAAACATGAATGACAGCCTCTGTTTGTTTCCTGGCTTTGTCAGACATCATTCAGAACACTCATCACTGGAATTCAATCAATCAATCAATCAATCAGTCAATCAATCAATCAATCAATCAATCAATCGGTCGACCAACGAACGAACAAACGTACGTCTGTAATACAACAAAATTCCTTAGAAGACTTCGGACATTTTTAATTCTTTTGTAAAGATGTCAAAGGTAAGAACTGGAGGAAGTTGTCTGACACCCTAGTTTTCAAAATAAAAGCCTCCAGTAGCGTCTGTAAACTTTTAAAAGTAGAAGCTGCAGTGTTTTTTCCCAACAGTGGAATGAAGACTGTTCAAATCCATTCAAGTGATTTTTCAGATTATATAAAAACCTTTGTGTGCTGCTCTGACAGAAAACCTCAGGAACACATGAGAAAGTTCAGGTTTGAGTGKGAATAAATGTGGAAAAAGTCCTGCTTTGGTTACTAATTTTATCTTTAAAGAACAAAGAAAATGTTTGAACTAAAAATAAACTAGAGAAGAACCCATCCAGGGGACCTACTTACTTTTTCTTTTTGATAAAAAAAACTAGAATTTGTTGTAAAAACAAACAAAATTTGGATTCATTGTTTTACTGAAGAGAAGACTTGAACAGAAACATGATGAATCCACTTGTTTGAACATTTGGTGGCTTTTCTGTAGCTGGAGGACGTGCACATTGGTGTGCACGTTGGCGTGTGTCTTACCTGGAGGCATCAAAGCTGTCGTAGGAGCCCACGGTGTAATGTCTGAAGAGCTTCCGTCTGTCAGCGCGGTCCGCCCGGGAGTCTGCCAGGATCACAGCAGAATCAGGTCAGTGAGTGCTACGTGCTGCTAGCTGCTGCTGCTCTGCAAAATAACACCTTTTAAATGACTTTCACACATATTAACCACCCAGGTTAAACAAGCAAACACATATTTTACTAACACATGTTGAGCATCTGAAACCCTGGGCTGAAGGAGGAGCTGCAGGTCGAAACATCTCCAAAATAAAAACTGAATGTTTGTGATCCTTTAAATCACAGCAAGTCTTCAGCTTCTTTTAGGTCTTTAAGTTACAATTTCATAAAGATTAAAACAACAATCTGTTTACCTAGAATTTATACAATACCAGAATATATTCCTGAATGTAAATGTACATCTACATGTTGTGTATATGCATGCACACATAAATGTATACACACATGTACGCACATATACAGCCC